CCTTCAATACCACGACTGAGGTGCCCTTGAGCAAGGCAAGGGCACCCCAACTGCCACAGCATAAATGGCTGCCCACTGCTCCGGGTGTGTGTTCACGGTGTGTGTGTGTTCAGTGCTGTGTGTGTGCACTTAGGATGGGTTAAATGCAGAGCACTAATTCCTAGTATGGGTAATCATACTTGGCCACGTCACGTCACTTACCCTCCCTAGACAGTCATCATTGTGCTCCCCTCTATTGGAGGTAGCTCTTCAGCAAATGAATGATCACCTGTATAAACGTAAGATAAACCCTTCTCCTCACCAGCCTCGCCAGTGTAGTCCTGACTGGCCCAGGATAAGGGCCGCTCATCATTTTTCAACTGTGTGTGCTCTCTAAGTTTAGAGATGCCTGTCAGCTATTCAGGGCTGCTTGATAAAGATGGAAGTTCCTCAACGTGGTAAATTGTTTGAGGAACATCTAAAACTTCTGATGATCCGTCCTCTGGCTCAGATGTATCAGAAAACGTTTGTCGGCGATCAAAAAACTCAGCATCTGACTCAGTGCTATCTGCATGAACAGGTCTTGGCCTGGCTTTAAGATTAAGACTGTAAAGTGGAGAGTCAGCATCTAAAACTGCAGTGGCATCTAACTGCATCTGGTCACCCATCAGTTTTGTAGCCATCTCGGAGGCTTTGAGCTCCTGAGTTACTTCCAAAGTACAAGGTGTCATAGCAGCTACAAGTGGATAAATTCCAGGAAAGGCTAAACTTAATTCAGGCTTATCATAACCTAATGATGGTGATGTCTTTTCAAATGTAGAAATGACACATTTGAAATCTGGGGAAAGCTGGACAGTCCTTGCAGCACAAGATATTCTCTTTTCTAGAGATTCATGGGATTCTGGAGAATTCCCTTGATCAGAAGAGGATGTGTTAAATATAGGTGAAATGGGACTTTAATCAGCAAGTGACACCTGAGTGCATGCTGATGGTGTATTCACAGATTTTGAGGGCACATTTCTATAATCACATGATTCAAGACCCAAACTAAACACAGAGGAATCAATTTGATTTAGTTCAACTCTTCTGTGAGAGTCTTTGAGATGAAACTGAAAATAATTTACTTCTTGCAATCCATTTAATGCTTTAGGTTCTTCAGGTGATGAATCAGGAGTGGATTTGTGGGTCGGACTGAGATTTGTTGTGCTCAGGTATACTGGAGACACATGTGGCTAGATATGGCTCTTTTGATGATTCACTGGTCAACAAAGATGCTGTTAACTTTAGTTGAGGCTCTAAACTTCTTGAAATTGATGGTGTATCTCCTTTTCTTAGACTTAAATCTTTTACTTGAGGCACTAAATGAATGTCCTCAGAGACACTGTCCTGTGCAAAATGAAAGGAAACAAAACAATGTTTCTCCCTATTTGTGTGAATTACATAAAACAAATCCAACATTTTGTTGTATGGAAAGACTGAAAAAAAAATTACATGCTTTAACATCTGATGCATAATAAGGGTATCCCTTAATAAACATGCAGATGATAATAAGTCTCATTACAAACACAGCAGTCTTAAAATTACATCAAAACCATTATGGTGAATTAGTAAACATTCTCAAAATTGACCATTCTCTTGTAAACTGCACACTCCTCAAGAGTTGTCCATTTAGTCTTGATTTGTTAGTAGATTCAGAACTAAAAAAATCTGTATTTCAGGGCAGACATGACACTACATTCCTCTTGGGATACATTGTTATGAACGCACAATATTGACAGCTGCATGCTCAACTTCTTACCCTTTTTTGTCATCTTGAGGGGCCAGTTTTCTTAAATCATGTCCTAGATCTTCTTTTTGTTGCTGTGAACTTTCCATGTATCTCTTTTCATCTATTTTATGGATTTTGAGGCTTTTGCTAGTTTCTTCACTTGCAAATGCACTTGTTGCTGTGATTATGTCCTGTTCTTCACAGTAAGAAATTGTCTTTGTTACACTTTGTGTGTTCTTTTGTGTTTGCTCAGATGCTATATCGTGAGATGCATTTGGTTTTGTCCTTCATCGAATGAACACTCAATCCTAATTTCAGAAACAGACTGAAGCTCCTCTTTTTCATGTGGAGACTCGATTTGTTCCATGGATTGTTCAACTGTCACTAGATTCAGCAAAGCAGAATAATTTTTGAAGACAGGTAAATCTTTCTTAATCTCATCAATGTCAGAAAAAGACAAATCATTCAAATTGTCATAAAACTCATCTTCAGATTCAATTATCACTGATTCAGGTGATTCGGGTTGATAAAATGTCTCAAAAACGAAAGGATCTGGAGTAATATTTTCAGTTAGTTCTATGTCAAATGTTGCTGCTTCGGGTGATGGGTTTCGCAATTCTGTTTCAAGACAGAACATTTGAGGTGATAAAGATCTAGAATCAGTGTCTGAAAAATCGGAGATAGATGATAAAGGTCTGTTTTCTGACATGATCCATTATGGCAGTGGGTACCATGATGAATATGATTCAGGATACACTGAGCCCATATCAGAACTTTGATCATTACACACTGAAGGGGACAGTGGACTCAAAATGGATTTGTGTTGCGTGAATACCTCACTAGATTCAGATGTATGTTCATTTGGAAGTGGTGATGGTGTTGAGTATTCAGGTATAGGTGAATCTGGTGAAAGACTTTGAAATTCATTCCCTGAAAAAATCGTCTCAGGGGATGAGGGTCGACTTCGACCAAAAACTCTGCCCATGGTAATGAAGGTCTGTGCCTAGGAATTGGTGATTCAGGAGAGAGTTGCCTGTACTCATTTACAGATGAATATGATTCTGGTGAAGAGGCTCTCCCATCTGAGGAGTCCATTAGACATGCATTTAAACGTTGTTAAACAAAGAATCAGTGGAAAATGCTTGATTTAAAAAAAAAATAAATCCAATGATTCTGTTTGCATATGTGATTGCAGAGAACAGGTGTCAAAAGGTGAGGATGTTTCACTATAAGATATAGCACTGTTGGAAATGTCATAATTGTGTTGCTCAGTGCATTCATTATTTGCCTTTATTTTAGGAAAAGTCTTCAAAATCATCTTTTTACATCCAGAACACTCAAACACACCTGGCTTCGGACAGAAAGTTTCGCGTCTATATCGAGGATCATACAACTGGGAGATTAATGCTAAGGGAATAGCTTTGTACACAAGTTTACAGTGGGTACGGAAAGTATTCAGACCCCCTTCAATTTTTCACTCTTTGTTATATTGCAGCCATTTGCTAAAATCATTTAAGTTAATTTTTTTTCCTCATTAATGTACACACAGCACCCCATATTGACAGAAAAACACAGAATCGTTGACGTTTTTGCAGATTTATTAAAAAAGAAAAACTGAAATATCACATGGTCCTAAGTATTCAGACCCTTTGCTCAGTATTTAGTAGAAGCACCCTTTTGATCTAATACAGCCATGAGTCTTTTTGGGAAAGATGCAACAAGTTTTTCACACCTGGATTTGGGGATCCTCTGCCATTCCTCCGTGCAGATCCTCTCCAGTTCTGTCAGGTTGGATGGTAAACGTTGGTGGACAGCCATTTTTAGGTCTCTCCAGAGATGCTCAATTGGGTTTAAGTCAGGGCTCTGGCTGGGCCATTCAAGAACAGTCACAGAGTTGTTGTGAAGCCACTCCTTCGTTATTTTAGCTGTGTGCTTAGGGTCATTGTCTTGTTGAAGGGGGTCTGAATACTTTCCGTACCCACTGTATATTGAGGCACCATTCTGAAAGTCTTGTGTAATGGCAGATATGTCACAATGTTGGATAGTTCTTGGCCAAGTGATTGTTGTCTTTGATCATCAGTGTGATTGTGTTCTATTTCTATATGACATTGATCCACAGGAGATATTTTACCTGATGCAGGAGATAAGGTGTTTTCAGTCCATGTATCATCCTCAGATGCAAAGCTTGCCATGTCAAATTCTACACCATATACAATTGATTCTAGGGAGGATGATCTGTATGTGGCTTTTGGGGTGACATTTACATATACTGATGACTTGAAGTCATAAATAGGTGAGTCTGGTGATAATGGTCTTTTTTTCATTCAAGGACATGATTGATTCAGGTGAGGAGGGTCTCTGTTCGGTAGCTTGAGATGCATTTACCCAAAGTTCAATGTCTGTCTCTGATGTAGGTGACTCAGAGGACTCTGATCGGTGTACACTTATAGGGGATATTTTATGTATACACGAAAACTGTGGAACAGAGTCTGGAGGTAATGTTCTACACTCTTCCAATGATGTAAAGAATTCTTGAGATGCATGATCTACCATAGACATTGCTGTATGAGGTGACATTGGTCTGTAATCACTTACTGAGTGAGGGGAAACTGGTCTAGGCTCAATTTCTGATATTACTGATTCAGGAGAGTCAGGTCTTTGCCCTGTACTAAGGTCTGACGGATATAATTCATTTTCATCACCCAAAGAAACTGAGGACTTTGATAGTGAATCTGATTCTGGTATGAAAAATGTATATGTGGATGGTGTGAACTCAGGAAAAGGAGAACCACAGGACAGTGGTCTGTTTTCAGTTACCAATGTCATTGATTCTGGTGAGGATGTTCTAAGATCCATCAGTGAGTCATCAAATAGATCTGTCTGCATTTCCAATTCTGATAATATCGTCTGATTAGATGTTGACCTGTATCCTGTTACCATTGTTGGTTCAAAGTGTGAACCATAATACTGAAGTATTGGAGAATATGGCATGGGTATAGGTGAATCAGGGGAGAGATATCTGCTTTCACTTAAAGATTCTGGAGAAGCTTCTGAGGTTAAAACATTTAGTTCCTCCTCTGACAATTCAAACTCAGGGGATGAGGACATATAATCTGACAAAAACCTATAATCTGGAACTGATTCAAAAACAGCTGGGAAATACTGTGGCACAGGTGAGTCAGGTGAGAGCAATTTAAAGTAATTAACTAAGGTGGCAGCGTCTGGTGAGGATGCCCTAAAATAAGCCAAATGAGATTTAATCTCACCTGAGGTAGGTTCATTCTCTGATACTAAACCCAGAGAAGGAAGTCTATACTTAGATTTTGATCACTGACCTCTAACTCATAAATCATAACCAACATCTGATGTCGTAGACTCAAGTGAGGATGACCTATGTCCTTTTATTGGGCTTGGTTCAATGAATAATTCAGAGTAATGTGGTACAGGTGAGTCGGGATATCTACATTCACTCATGGACTCAATTGACTGTGAAGAAGAGCCTCTAATAAACAGGTCTTCAAAAGAAGGTTCATATTCTGTAGTCCCTGAGCACAGTGATTGAGGTGAACACGATCCATGTCCTAATACTGGCAAAGTAATCTGTGAGAATAACACACTGAATTGAAGTAAAGGTGAGTCAGAGGACAGTGGTATACTGCCAGATATTATAGACTGGGGAGAGTCAGGTTCTGTTCTGAATTAAGGTCAGTTTGATAAAGTGTATTTTCATCATCCATAAAGTCCAGTTCTGGGGAAGTTGGACAGGAGCCTCTCTCTGGCATGATAGATGATTGACTGGGTAGTGTGAAGTCAGGAAAAGGTGAATCAGGGGACAGTGTTCTGTTTTCATCAATCGATGCAATTGACTCCCAAGAGGATCTTCTAAGATCAATGACCAAGTCATCAAATACATCGGTCTGAATATTTATTTCTGACAGTACTGATTCAGGGGATAGCGATGTGTAACCTGTTACCATTGTTGGTTCAAAATGAAAGGTATAATATTGTGATACTGGAGAATCCGGGGATAATGATCTAAAGTCAGGTCTTTCATCATTTATAGATTCTGTTGATTCTGGAGAAGAATCTAGGGTGAAAACATTTAATTCCCATTCCTCATCTGATAATGTTTCTGGCGAGGTTGGTCGGGAAACTGAAAGTGCCATTATAAATGTGTGTGTGGCCATTTTGAACTGAGGAATAGGTGAATCAGGGGACAGAGGTCTGTTTTCATTAAGTGATGTGATTGACTCTGATGAGGACCTTCTAAGGTCAATCACCAAGTCATCAAATACATCTGTCTGCATATCTATTTCTGATAGTATTGATTCAGGGGATAGTGATAAGTAACTTGTAACCATTGCTGGTTCAAATTGACAGGTATAATACTGAGATATTGGAGAATCAGGAGACAAAGATCTAAAATCAGACATTTCATCATTTATAGATTCTGTTGATTCTGGAGAAGAATCTAGGTTGAAAACATTTAATTCACATTCTTCCTCTGATAATGCATATTCATGAGATGAGGACCTATATTCTGTAACAGAAACTGATTCAAAGACTGCTGGAAAATACTGGGGTGTAGGTGAGTCTGGAGATAGGAGTCTACATTCATTCATGGACCCATTTGACTCTGGAGAAGTCCCTCTAATGTATTTCAAAAGCATGGCAGAGTCAGGTGACATGGGTCTCCATTCAGGCAAGGAGTCTGGAGAATGTGGTCTTTTGTCAGTATGTGATAAAATTGCATCGGGGGAATCTGGTCGATTTTCTATTGTTAGCAATTCTTCAAGGTAAGGTTCATATTCTGTATTCTCTGAGCACAGTGACTGAGGTGAACATGATCTAGGTCCTGTTACTGGCAAAGTACTCTGAGGGAATAATGTCATGAACTGAGGTATAGGTGAGTCATGGGACAGTGGTCTAATCTTAATCTCTGATATTATAGACTGAGGAGAATCAGATCTTTGCTCTGAATTAAGGTCGGACTGACAAAATTTATTTTCAACATCCAAAGCGACTGTTTCTGGAGAGGTTGGTCGAGATCCTGTAAGTGGCATGATAACTGGGTATGTGGCCACTTTGAAGTGAGGAATAGGTGGATCAAGGGACAGAGGTCTGTTTTCATTAAGTGATATGATTGACTCCGATGAGGACCTTCTAAAATTAATCATCATGTCATCAAATAAACCGTTCTGTATACCTGTCTGACACTATTGATTCAGGGGGTGAGGATCTGTAAAAAGGTGTAAGTGAGCATAATATTGAGGTATTGGAGAATCTGGTGCAGATATTGGTAAATCAGGGGAAAGAGGTCGGTGTTCATCAAATGATTCTGGAGAAGCCACTGGATTAAAAAGATCTACATGTTCCTGTTCTGCCAATGCAGATTCAGGGGATGAGGAATTACAATCCTTTAAAGGAATTGTTTCAAAGGCTATGAAATATTGTGGCAATGGTGAGTCTGGTGAGAGCAATCTAAACTCATTCAGTGAGGTGTCTGATGCTGGTGTGAATGCCCTGAAACAATTTTCTACAGTAAACTCTTCAAAGTAAGGTTCATATTCCGTATTCTCGAAGCACAATGAATTAGGTGAACAGGATCTATGACTGGTTACTGAAAAGGTACTCTGAGAGAGAAATCCACTGAATTCAGTTACAGGTGAGTCAGGTGATAGTGGCCTGAACTCATTAATTGATGATACTGATTAAGGAGACAAGGGTCTACACTCAGTTTCTTCAAGAGTGTCATCGAGCACAAGTGATTCTGGGGATATCGGTCTAAATTGATGATGTGACGAAAGGGGTTTGTGTTGACATTGGAATATTGCTGGACTTTCAAAATTCAGTTGAAACTGAGGTAAATCCTGACTATTCACTGTACACTTGACAGGTAGGTTTTGTTCAAAAGAATCGTGAATTTTGGATTCTGTAGGGGGTGGGTATATTTATTGTGGACTATATAAAGTTGTTGAAACATCTCCAGTGTTGTTCAAAACAACAAGCCTAGAGCAGCCTTTGTAGTATGGATCAAATATTTTGGCAATACGATCGCTAAGCATAGTTTTAGACATAAAAGTATACTTTGGTTTTGGCAATTCACTCACACTTTGTTCCTCATTGTATAGTGATTTAGTACTCAGTAGTTAATATTGGAGTGTATTTTTTTTCTATTGGCTCACCTTCCAAATTAACACTTTCTACTATAACCGTGGACAAAGGAACATATTCAGCCTCTAAAATTACTGATTCTGGAGTTTGCGATCTTGGTTCACAGATCAAGGGCTCAGAATGCAAATATTCAATATCAGATGTTTCTAATTCAGGAGACGAGTCTCTTTGGCTCCCAAACTGGATGACATTAAAGTGTAATGTGGTTCTATATACAGGCACAGGTGAATCAGGTGAAAGGAGTATGTGTTCATGTATCAATGTAAATGATTCAGGAGATGAAATTCTGGTTTCAGGCAACTTCTGATATTGGTTTGTTTTCATTATCTGAGAGGCCTGACTCAAATCAATGAGATCAATACAGTTTAGAAGGTATGAAACTTTCCCACACTGTTTGAGTAAAGCTGGGAAGAGGAGAATCAGGGGAAAGGCATCTCTGGTTATTGAGAGATGCAGTTGATTGAGGTGATGATGGTCGACTTCCAGCTAGACACTCTAATGATATCAGATCACAGTCTATGTCTGAAATTTCAGATTTTAGTGATGGTGAACTGTATACTGTCATGAGTACTGAAGAGTCATTTTGCACTTCTGTTGCAAAACAAGGAATTGGGGAATCCGGGGGAAGTACTCTATTGGTGCATCTCAATAAATTAGAATGTCGTGGAAAAGTTCATTTATTTCAGTAATTCATTCAGGTGATAATGATCGGTAGGAAATCACAGAACCAGGTGAAATAGGTCTTTCTGTGTCATCAGTCACTTCAAAATAATATGCTCCAAGTGAATTTTCTGTATATCCTGTAAGAGGGACCGTTTTTTCACCAGGAGCATGTAATGTTTTGTGTTCTTTAACATGTATTGTTAATTCAGGTGTGCCATTTTCAAAAGTTGGCAAAGGTGTAGCTGGCCTAAAATCAGGCAATGGCGACTCAACAGAGAGGAGAGTGCAGTCATTCACTGAAGTTACAGATTCAGGTGAAGATACTCTTAATTCAGCCATTAATATGCATGAGTCTGGTGAAGACGGTCTATATCCAAATGGTACTGGTGAGTCTAAAGGCAAAGAATCCACTGATTCTGGTGATGATCTGTATTCAGATGAAGTCATTCCAAGGTTATCGAAATATTCAAACTCTATATCTTGTGACAAAGATCTTAGCTCAACTTGGGATGTTAAAGATACAGGTGTAAGAGGTCTACTCTCCATAACTTCAGCTGATGTTGAGGTGGTTTATTCAGTTTTTGTGCATTCGGCGTCTGTTGGTTTGGTTAGAGTAATTGGTATGGCTACTTCAACCCTTGCTTCTGAAGAACCAGAATTAGTTATTGGAAGTGGTAATATATGTGGCTGCTCAGTAACTGAATCAAGTGACATTTGATTGAGCAAAGAAGGGGTAATCTTCTCTGTAATGCCTGTTCCACTTACAAGTGCAACAGACATGCTAGGTTGTTGAAGAGGACTGGACATTATTTGAGTTATTCTTTGTATTCCTTCAGTGGACAATTCTATGATTGCAAACTGATTAACATCAATATCTTTGGAAACATCTGAAGATTCTTGTACACAGACAGGAATGATGTTACAATTCCCTTCATCCACAGAAGAAATCTCATTTTCGGGGAACCTATAAGTCTCTACAATTACACTTGTTTTACATAGCTCAGGTGAGACATAACTTTCACCAAAAAGGGTTCTATAGAATCTGTCAGAAACTTCCTCAATGTGGAGCTGTATATAATCCTCACGCTCACTTGGTTTCTTTGGAAGTGCAGCCTCATATTTATTCGGTGAGGCAGATGCAATTTCTGTATTTACATTTGATGGGGATGTAAAGAAATTTATTGCACTGGAAACAGGTGAGGTAATATAATCTTCAGAATTTTGCTTGAGTTCCACAGACAACTCATCGAAATCTGCCTCGGCATTCTCAGATTCCAACAGGGTGTGCCCAAAATCTGACAGGGTTGTTTGTCTCTTTCTCAGCTTGTACCCTTCCATTGAATTAATGGCTGGAACAATCTGTTCATCATCCTGTTACATCCTGATATGGGGTGATACCAGGGGTCATATAGCCTATTCCTACATTACTTGAAGCTCCTTGATGGCTAATGTCAAAATCGTAATTGCACAATGTGCAAAATGCTAGACTTCATGTTAAATATTTTTCATAGGTTAGTACTCAGTCTGCACTCAGTGATATTCCTGTTATACAGTATTTTAGAGTAAACAGTAGGAATGCAACAATACAGTTAGCCTAAGGTTCAATAAATACCTCCGTTTTTTTAAACACAGTTTTCAGTTTGGTTCTGATGGTTTGGCACAACAGAGTTCTTTTTAGAGATTTTAAACGCTATTTAAAAAAAGCAAACTCCAGTATACTTTAAGTAAAACTCCAGTACATTGATGTACACTGTAGAAAAACATGGATTATCACATGTCTATCTTAATTATTTTGAGAGAAGTATTATTTTTATAGATTGGCCATTATTTAGTGCTATGAACACATGTAATGTCTGTTTCATGCATACTGGATACTAGAGGGCGCCCTTACGCAGAAAGTCCACATATGCATCACCGAAGAAATAGGCTCACAACGCTCCAGGAAATCCCTAATATGGACAAAAGCAGCTATTGCTGTAACTGAATGAAAGGAGACAGAAATGCGTACAGGTTGGCAGGTCTGGTATTGTTTGATGATTCTTTGGAAATAGTACCACCTTTGTAAACTGGGCCATAAACGTGAGACTGCGGTCTCCAGGGATCAGCTTTGTACAGGTTAAAGAAGGGACTTACTTTTTTGATAGTGACTGGGAATTGTTGCCTCAGTCCAACCATATCAAAGGAACTATGTGCTGAGGCTCCGACCACCCTGACAAATAGAGAATCAAATTTAAATAACTTATTACAGTGTATTATTAAAAAAAAAAATTATGGTATAGGTCAGGAATAGAATTAACTTACTCTGAACCCATCCCTTTGTCTGTCAGCAACCTCTCTTTCTTGGAATCATCAAAGGACGATACATTGCAGGAGAGATCCTCGACAGATGCCACCAGAGGTCCAAGTTCTGATCCTTTTTGTGTGACTTCTGCTCGCCGACCTGGCCTGGGACTGTCCATGTCCTCCTGTAAGGCTGAAAAACCTGCAAAGCCAACATAGTTTCTGTTAAGATGTTGTAAAATCATTGTAAAAGTTCAGCGATTCATCATCTTCTGGAAAAGTGATGAATAATAATGTGACTTTCTATATTAAAAAACACCAACCTAATAAGTTTCAAGTTATTATCATCCATACCTTCACTATGATCCAATGATATGGTTTGCTCAATTTCTGCATAGGTGTGTGATGACTGGTCTTGACTGGACTGGATGATTTTTGTTTCGATGAGATTAACAATGTCCATACGATTTATTTTCGCAAGTGTCCTCATCAAAGTGTTCTCTGCTGATAAGTGGAGAGATTATGTTATGTTTATTTTTGTCTACTAGAATGCAACAGACAACCAGACAATGTGAGTGATCCTCCTTCTTTGGCAGAACCCAGAGCCACAATGCCATAATATCATAATTTGTTTCCTTTCACTATATACATAACACTGGGCATCACAACACTGCCCCAAGTCAAAAGAGTAGTGATGGGAAGTTCGGATCATTTTACCGACTCGGACCTTTGAGTCTCGTTCAGCAAAATGAACGAATCTTTTTTCGAGTCATTTCGTTCATTTTAACAAAATATAATTAAAATGTTACGTGTTACTTCCCTAATATGTCTACTACTTACGCAAACGTTGATCACACTACAAACAATACAAAACTGCTATAAGAAACAGAAAATATTAATACATTGTTTACCTGAGTCTTCAGTCTATGATTAGCTCACCACCTCTTATCTGACAAGTCTTCGGGTTTGGGTTTATGGGGCTGTCACGTGATGAACGAACAACTCGAAAAACCCGAAGATTCGAGATGAACTAATCAATTCTCTTTCCGGCTCAGACTGCATAGGGTAAACGTATGGGGCTGTCACGTGATGAACGAACGACTCG